GGCCGAGGCGGGGCCTGGCCCCTCCCCACAATCTCACTGGCCGCCCGCAGAAACTTCTATCCCTTGCCCCCACACCCTGGGTCATTCACACATCCTGTCACAGCACCTATGAGACAAGAGCCTTCTAGGAAGGATTCACCCCACCCCCAACTATCAAGAGCGTACTTTGAAATACACAAGTAAACTGAACCCCTACAGCCAGAGGGCAGGAGACAGGAAGCGGTGCTCTGGACACCAACAGGCCGGCCTGATCCACCTGGCCCGGCCTGCCAGGCCACCTCCCTTCAGAGGGGGCAGAGCTTGGAGCCATCCCAAGCTGGTTCTCAGCCCCATCCCAGTTGGGAAATTCCTTCCGGTGACTTGACCTCCCAGAGTCTCTTCCCATTTCCTCACCTGACAAGTGGGAACCACTCCCCGCCACAGGCCTGACAGATGGGGGTGAGATAAAGTAACGTGTGCAGCTCGGGCCAGCGCTGGCGTGTGGCCGGTGAGCCACAGGTGTTGGTTGTCACCATCTTTAGGCTTTCTCAGGGCAGGGGGCACAGTACAGTCACAGTGACAACCTCAGGAATTTGCATGGCCATTCATGTCACCCGTGCTTGGAGTCTAGAGCGCTGGCATTTAACTAGAACTGGAGACCGTGGTGGGATCCCCTTTCATAGTTGCATCCCAGTGGCTCAAACTCCCTCCCAACTCAAGAGGCAGCCTGGGCCAGAGGACAATCCAAGTGATCTTGGGCAGGTGGCCGATGACCCTCTGGGTGCCAACGGCCCTCAAAGCCATAGTGGGAACAATCAGCTAGCCTTCCAGCCAAGGTTGTCAAGAAGATGACAGGAGCCTGGACAAAGGACTTAGAGGGGCCTGGCCCATAGCCAAGAGGGGCAGCACCAGCTATTTCTGAAGACGGCTGGTCTGAAAAGCAGACAGAGCTGGCAAGAAGCTGTCCTGCTTAGGGCTAGGTGGGCACCCCCAGAAAGGGGAGACAAGCTTACTTCCCGGGGCCTCGCTGTGGGAGGGGAACAGAGGCTAAATTAAGGCTCCTCCTGCCACCAGTGCCCGAGCTGACATCCACACAGCCGCCCCCTTAGCAGCAGGCGAGCAGCCCCCAGCACAGCTCTAGAACAGTCATGGAGTATTTGCGGCAGGCCTCCTGCATGTCCTCTCCCCACACACCCTTCCCCAGGACAGAGCCCTGGCAGCTGTCCTCCATGCCCCAACACCCTCCCCAGTCTCTTGTGTCTCAAGGCTTGAAGGCAACATGCCTGGAACCCCCAGCCCTCCCTACACAGGATCCCTCACCCAGAGACCTCAGCCCTGGCATCACCTCGAAGCACCTCTCTCAATCAGCACCCTTTTACACCACCCCACAGCATCACATCATCCCATTTTATTTCCTTCCTGCTGCTGGCAGCTGTCAAGTTCTTTGTGCCCATTTCTGTGCTGTCTTGTTCATTATTATATGCCTCCTGCCTCCAGAATGTCAGCTCATAACACTAGAGGCCCATCTCGGTCACTTCTGAACATACAGCACCTGAGCAGTAGCCCTGTGCAAACCAGCTGCTCGATCAGATTTGGGTGGATGCAGGAACCCAGGCTCCCTGCCTCCCACAAAGTCTATTCAAACCTCCAGGTGGGAACCAGCTCTGGGTACAAGTACTAAGTGCTGAGAACAGGGAGGAGGGAGGTTGGGGGTGTTAGGGCTGCACTGACGGCCACACACATGTCAACAGAATCCTCACAGCCTTAAGAGAAGAAGGAGCCAGAGCTGAGAGAGGGCAGGGCACTGGGACCCTCACAGCCCTGACAGAAGGATCTGGAACTGGGAGGGGTTGGGTACTGGGACCCTCACAGTCTTGAGGAGAAAGATCTAGAGCTCAGACATGGCCAGACACTAGGAACCTCCCAGCTAAGAGAAGAATCCAGAGCTCAAAAAAGGGTCGGGCAGTAGGACCTTGCAATGCTGCAAGAAGAAAGGGTCAGAGCTGGGAAGGGTCAGATACTGGAATATGCACAGTCCTGAGGACAAGAAGGATCCAGAGCTGGGAGAGGATCAGGCACCGGAATCCTCATAGCCCCAAAGGGGAGGAATCTTGACTGGGAGGGGTCACTCACTAGCCCAAGGCCTCAAGCGGGTAGAACCAAGATTCAAACTCAGATAGACTACAATCTTCAGGCATCTTGAGCCCCTCCCTGGGTCCTCAATTTTTCCTTAACGACAATATGCTCCTCTCCACCGAGGAGCTTATAAACCAGGAGAGAAGGTCACCCAGCAACAGAAATACCCAGGTGGTTGAGGCAGGTGCCCCAAGGAGGGTCACTTCCTCAGAGTGGCCAGGGAACACTTCTCTAAGCAGGTGCATGTTGCTATCTTGGAAGGATGGATCTATACCTCCGCCCTCTTCTCTCCCAGAAGTAGCCCACAGTGAAATGGGAGATCTACAGGCATAGCTGCCTCGGGACTCACTCGAGTTTTTATATTCAAGAAGAAGCTTCACGAAGCCTAAGTCTAGACGGTGGCAGCTGTGTATATTACTTTCTGCTACATTCCAGACTGGCCACTAGGTCTACACAAAGGCAGCTCACACTCCACACCCCTCTGGAGAGAGAAACCATGGGGGACTTCTATACTCAGGCTCCTCCAACAGCTAGGATTACAGGCTCTCTTCGTCCACAGAGAAAATTTCGCAGTAACTTCCTCTCCAGTCCCCTGCCACATCTGAGTCTGTGAAAGTCTCTTTGCAATTAAAAGTAAAAATAAAAACCCTCTCCACAAGTTGCTATTGACAAACCATATAATAACCACAGTGCTACAGAATAGAAAACTCCAGACACTATTGACAACTGCACATAAGAGGTTTTGTTAGTAACCCCTACACTTCTCCGGTCGCACAGACCAGTTCTTCAAGTCACCGTCCCCATGCCCACCACCCAAAAGCACCCAAGCCACCCTGATTTTAGCTCAATCCTCTACGATGCCCAACAAGTAATATTAAATATGAAATTGCCAAGGAACTTAAATTATCAGTCAGCTTCCGAGAAAAACTCAAATTTGGGTCACCCTCAAAGTTTAGTCCAGCTGGCCTAGATGCCCCAACTGGCTTGGAGAAGTTCTTTGAGGGAGCCCCTCCTGGCTGATCAACACTGTCATACACAGTGTGCTTCGAAGCTGTGCTTCGAGGGGGATGAGCTGGAGTCTGTAGTTACCTTCACCCTCACATGAGGAAGATCCAGCTTAGTTAGGGGATGTAACCAACACCCTAAATTAAAAATAGCAGTATGACAGCATGAGGTGGACACATAGGCAGACCTTCCGGACAACTAGATCAAGCAAGGGTAGCATGGCAGGGAAGGCGGGGCTCTTAAGTGACCAGGTACCAAGTTCACCTTATTTACATGACTCATGAGCTCTCCCCCAGCTGTTTCGAGGAAAGCCCGCCTTCCTGCAGGACAAGTCAGAACGGCCTAGGGAAAAAGACTCCAGACTGGAATGCCACAAGGAAAGGAGACTTAAGCTGGACACAGTGTCCCCACCACCTCCTCCTCCTCACCTGCAAGGGCACCTTAGCCTCATCTTGAGGAATCCTTTTGACAAGGGGAGAACTCGCTCTTCTAAAAAAAAGAGACCTCTTCTGTGAATGGGAAACTGTGACACCAGGACAGGAAGGAAACTGCCCCAAAAAAAAAAAAAAAAAAAAAAAAGTGGGAAGAAGCACGGGAAGGGTGGGCACCAGGAAAGTGGTGGGAACGTTAACAGGGGAAGAAATTCCCGGCTTAGCTAATGGTGCTGAACAAGTCTGGGGCAGGAAGAAAGCCACATTCCTTCCTAGTTAGTCTCTCTCCTCACCCGCCCTCGGCCCCCCCATTCCCAGTATACACAAACACACACACACACACACAGGCACACATGGAGCAGGGCCTCCACGAGCCGGACACCAGACCCCTCCTCAGCCACTTTATGACTGCAAAGTCCCCACTTTCCAGGCAACAAGGAAAAGGGCTCCCAAGCCACTTCTTCTCCTCAGGTCCTGACCACTCCGGGCACCTGCAACTTCTGTCCCAACACAGACGGAGGGCGCCATGACGCAAACAGAAATGGGAAGAAGCAAGTTTCTGATCAGGGTCCCAGATGTGCCCCCAAATCGGGCCTGAAAGAAGGTGCACTGCAGCCTCCCCCCAACCCACGCACACTGAGCCAGGTGGCAGAAGTGAAACGCCTCTAACTTCCCCAGATGGGCCCAAATCAGCCCCTGAGAAGTTTGAGAGTCAGCAGCTAGGTGCCCACAAAGGGCTCCCAGCCTGGGAAAGGCACCATGCCAGCGACCCCCCACATACACACCTTCTTCCCCCCAAAACATTCCCACTCTCTAAAAATGTCCAGTAAGGCAGGGTCCCCTGCGAGGAGTAGGGGAGTTGGAAACAAGCTGTCAGTTTCTGCCCAAACGCCCCTTCCCAAGAACCAACAGTGAGCCCAATTCCAAGGGCTCCATTGGTGTCAAAGCCGGCCCTCCCAATGAAAACACAGCTTCCCCACACAAACGGAACAGGATCTCCACAGGTGCCCCGACAGCGGTGCCCCACTGATCCACCCTGCCAGGCACCCAGACGGAGAAGCCCCAAGCTTCCCCTCCACCCTGTCCTCCGGCCAGGTGAACAGCTCAGTTCCTGCCCAGGTGCTGGGTGAGCCGGGAAAGGCTCTGGAGCCTCCGGGTGCCGACTTAGTCGCCCACCCCCACCCCCGGACCAGACGCGCGAGCTCCGGGTCCCTCGGCCGCCTCGGGCCGCCCGCCAGTGTCACCTCCCAGCGCCGTAAAGGAACGCAGTTCCCCGCGCTCCAAGCTGGACAGGTGCCCACCCCGCGACCTGTCGGCCCAGGGGCCCGAGAACAGCACCCGGGACGCCGGACCCCGCGCCCCCAGGCCAGGACGCCTCCGCGAGGGGCGCGTGAGGCCGGCCTGCGCTTCGACTCCTCCGACGGCCGCGCCGGGCTCCACGCCGCTCACCTGGCTGGAGCGGTAGCTCTCGAAGGCCCTCAGGGCACTGTCGGTAAGCTTCACGTGGAACACAGACACCTTGCTGCCGTCGCTCACCCGCCCGCAGGACAGCCCGTAGCTCCGATCCTCCTTCAGCGCCGCCATCTTGCGACCATCGCTCCCCCGCCCCCCCTTCCCGGTTCCAGCGCCGGAGCGCCGGCCACGCCCCGCCCCGCCGCCCGCTGACGCGCTGCATTATTCATGAGACGCGGCTGGCCACACCCCCTCTGGATCTAGCGAGGCCCACAGTAGCCTCTGCACGGCCGGCCGACTGCTGCATTATTCATGAACGCAGCTGGTCGCGCCCCCTGTGGGCCTGGCGAAGCTCACAGTCACCGCCCCAGGTGCTGTATATTCATGAAGTGTGGATGGCCCCACCTCTCAAGGCCCCGGAGAGGGTCACTTCCGTGCCCGGACTCCGCCCCGACACGCGCACCCCTCCAGGCCCCGCCTCAATATACATTATTCATGACCCTGACTCAGCCAGGCCGGCCGAAGCCACGCCTCACTGGCCGCTGACGTGATGCATTATTTATGAAGTCGCACCAAACCTACCGCCTTTGGTTTCTGTTGAGAGCGGTGGCCTGTGCGTGAAGGGGGCGGGGCCGGTGCAAAACACGTGGGGGGCGGGGCTGGCTATTGGCCCGGTGAATGGGCGTGACTATGCAAACCGAGCGCGCGTTGGACGCTGGGTTGGGCTAGTGGGGCTTCCCTTAAGGTAAGTAGATGGGATTCCCTGGCCCGGGCTGTTAGGGAATTGGGGGTGATGAGGAAGCAGGAAATTTTGCTCATGATAAAAGTAGACTTTTATTAGAATAAAATTCTACATCCCCAAGGTTCCTGAAATATGGTGGCTGTGCAGCTTTCCCATTTTAAGAAAACACTTTATGGGGCACCTGGATGGCTCAGTAGGTTAAGCCTTGGACTTTGGCTCACGTCATGATCTCAAGGTTCGTAAGTTCCAGCTCCGCACCGGTCTCTGTGCTGACAGCTCAGAGCCTGGAGTCTGCTTCTCTCTCTGCCCCTCTCCTGCTCACACTGTCTCTCTCTCTCAAAAATAAACATTA